AATAATAATAATAACAATAACAATGATAAACTTGTAGTAGTATTAGGTTGTCATTACATGGTATATTTCTGATATTTTAGCAGCATCTAATTAGAAAAACATTTTCTAATATTTTGATGCAGAGGCCATCAATTAAAACCTTTTGTTTGACTTTGGCTAATTTCTTCGTTCAAAGAATAATGTTGCACTGTCAGAATGACAACATCAAGCAAATATTTGCAGATACAAGCAATTCTTATGAATAAAAGATGAAATCTGCCATTTTAAAATAATATGACTATTTTCATAGTTAGTTTAATAGATTTTTGCCATATCTTAAATATCCAAATAAACAAAAACAAATGTCGAATGTCGATTGTTCTCGCTAAGTCTCAGTTTAGGTCATGTGAGGATCCTGGAGACAGAATACCATCCCCCCCCCCCCCTCCCCCCTTTTTCAACAAACCCGCCACTTCCCAAATCCCATATTTTGTCTTTAAAAGCATTTCCCCAGTTCCATTTCGTTTTTTTCTTCATTTCCAGCAGTGAACTAAATCCAATTTTCCCGGGACAAAATAGGCCAGCCCCACAGCTTCAATCTTATCCCTTTATGACCCTGTCATCACTTAGCTACCTGCTGATATTAATCCATGTCTTCCAGAACGAAAGGTCAATAACATGATTACCCCTAGACAATAAAATGTTTTATGTCTTGCACTGGTTCAACTGTTGAAAAATTTGACCTTCTTTCTGAACGGTCATTTAAATTACAATTCAACAAGTACTGGGGAATTCTATGATTTGTAGTGGAGGTTGCGAGTTTCTCTCAGTTTATAAGTTGCCATTCATTCCCACATGGATCTGAGCAGTTAGAGGGATCAAAAGTGTCCGAACAATCTACGTAAATAAATGGCCCCATCTGTTATAAAATATGTTATTCCGATTTTGATTCAAAAAAAGTAAATAGAAAAAAAAAGGAAATTTTCAACAGTGACTGGCAATTTATCGGACACAAACAACAGGAAGGCGGAATTCTAAGTAAAGTATAAATTTGGCTCATGGCAAAAATCTTGACTCAAATTTCATTTTTGTTAAACGAATTTATTTCATTAAGAAATGACTGCATCCAAGCGATAATAGTCATATGAAATTTAAACTAGAAAATCAGTTTCCATTAAAAGACTTGGTATTAATAACACAAATCAAGCCTTACCTGAAACGGAAATAGCATTCAACAAGAGTACCGTAAGGAAGAGTTTCCTCCGTAAAACCATAATTGCAGCTGCAGCACTGGCAAAAGTGGCGTTTGGTAAAAAAAAAGACAATGTCTTTGATATAATACACTTTGAATTACACATTGATCAACAGTTTATGACCTCAGTAAATTGATTTTACAAGACAGCCACTTCAGAAAGAGCAAATCAGTGTTTGAGGTCAACAGGTAGGCTTTTGAGAAGATGGAAAGCCAACTGGTTATTTGAAAGTATATATTAACTCTGAAAAGTGTCTTTTATGACTCACAGATTTATCGAAAGCAAGAAGAATGGCGTTGTTTATTTGAAAGTATGTTCAAGTTTGTTTGTTTTTTTTTTTTCGTTGCAGAGCTATCAATTTCAAAATGACAAATTAATGACTTCAAAAGGGAGAGGGAGCATACAGACATATCATCCCAATAGATAATATTTATTTTTCGTATTACTATCAGTCATTTGGCGCGGCAAAGCATATAAAAATGTAGAAATGTCACAGCAAAAATAACAAAATCTTTGCAACAACGCTTGTGCTAAACGACAAGAGAAGAGAAGAGAAGGGAAGGGAAGGGAAGAGAAG